ATATAAAATAAAATATAAATAATAAGAATATCAAACTAATAAAATATGATAAATATAAAATATATAGATAAAATGATGATATATAATATAAGAATAGAAATAAATATAATAATAATAAAATACATAAAAATATAATAATAAAATACATAAATAACATAATAATAACATAATAATAAAAAATGTATACATACATTGAATCAAATATCATTTCTGAATCATTTATAATTCAGAACAATTTACCATAAAATGATATAAAATATAAACAAATATAGAATGAATATAGAATAAGTATTTAATTTATTTTTTATTTTTTTAGGAGCAAAATAATAAAAACTATTATTTTATTGATTCAAAATATTTTGCCCCTTTCCTTCTGTTTGTAGTATCTCTGAAAAATACATTGTTTTATCTTTGAAATATATTTTCAATATACTAGTATTTTCTTCACTTTTAATTGAAATACAATTATTTTATTATGTATAGAGTGTATGGAAACAATATCAAAATCTTGTTTAATTCTGCTTGGAACAGATTATTTCTTTGAAATCAGTTCTCTTATTTTAACTTTTTCTATTTTTCATTCAATTACAATTTTAATGATTTGAATATCTTTTTTTATTGGAATTTGAAAATCAGTTATCACTTTTGTTTACTTATTTTTGACATTGTTTTATATTTCAGTGTTACGTTAAAACTACAATAATCTCTATGGCTTTATGAATTATTTTTAAAATGAAGTAAACATATTTGGTTTCTTTCACTATTAAAATATATTTTGATTGTTTGTAAATATTTAAATTTAAATCCCATTTATTAAAGAAATATTATAAAATGATTATATAGAATGATATTAGAAATAATTATTCTCTAATTAAATATCAACTAATATAATATTAAAACAAAGGATAAGATAGATAATATTCAATTTAATATAATATTATAATAAAAATAAACAAGAATAACAAATGAATATGTGATTATGAGAATAAATTAAATTAAAAGAATATAACAATGATATTAATATATCAAAATATTTTAAATAATAAATTAAAAGAAAAGTGACTATATCATTAAAATATATATAAAACATTATAAAGATGGTAATAATATTGTTATTAATTAAATTACGCATTTAATGAATGAAATTATCAACAATATAATTCAATGATAATGAAGTTATTGAATTAATAATAAAATAATATTTATACAAAAATATTAGGTGAAATAAATTATGTTATCAATGAATATTAAAATATGTTATTTCAGTTTCTTCTATTCCTTTAACAGATGATAAAATAATAATTAATATATGAATCATTTCATTATTTCATTTATATTTACTATCAAATTCAATAGAACATTGAAATATTTGCATAATATTTGCCATTTTAATATTTGTATTTATCATAAAAAAGACATTTTGAATGTTGATAAAATTATAAATATATTGTATTAATTAAAGCATGAATTAATAACAACAAATATAAATAAAAAACATAAAGGTATAGTATATATAATAATAGAAGATAAACCCAAAGAATAAAAATGAAGAATGGATAAGAAATAATAATAATAATACATTTTCAATCATAATAATATTGATAATGAAAAGATTGATTATAAATATTAAAAATCTCATTAGAAATGTTAGAAAGATTGATAAACAAAATAGAAAATTAATAATAGTCGTGGTAATGCACAATAAATATAATAATAATTTCAAATTCTTTTTCATGTTTACTTTAAATAAATAAAATACTCTAATAAAAATCGAATAAAACAAATCCTTTACTATAAAATTTTATATTTTAACTTAATTCCTTTTTTGGTTCCTATAAAAAAATAAAAATCAGGTAATTAAGTGTGATAATCAATCAGTTACAATGAACAAAAGAGATAAAAAAAAATATAAAGAAGAGAATCAAGAAAAGAATTGAAAAAATGAATGAAATAGAATAAAAATATATTTTTGAAAGAAATAGAAAATAAAAATAATATAAAAATAGAATATTATAAGAACTCAAAAAAAAAAGAAAAAAAAAGAATTAAAGAAAAAAATGTCAACAACAAACACAATTGATTTTAAACAACTTAATGAACGGTTATTGGAAAGAAAGTCTATCCGAACATATGGAGATAAATACCCAACCACCGAACAAGTTAAAGAAATAGAAAATTTTATAAAAACATTAAATGATATACAAACACCATTTAAAGCACAAGTCAGACTTTGTTTACAAACAGAAGATTTTAGTTTTATTAAAACATTTGGATTTATTACAGGAAGTAAATATTGGATATATGGAGTTATTCCATTAAATAATATTTCAGCATTAAAACAATTTGGGTATTTATTTCAATTGTTAATATTAAAATGTACTTCAATGGGTTTATCTACAGTTTGGCTTGGTGGTACTTTTACTGTTTCTGCATTTAACGTTCTTCAATATGATAAAAATAACGAATTTATTCCTTGTGTTTCTCCAGTTGGTTTTAATGGAAATGGAAATGAATTTCTTGCTCGTACAATAGGTTCTAGAAATCGTAAACTTTGGAATGAATTGTTTTATTGGAACTCTTTTAATACTCCTTTAACAAAAGAATTACTTCAATCACCTTTTAATGAAAATATTTTTGAAAGTATTCGATGGGCTCCTTCCGCTCGTAATCTTCAAGAATGGAGAATTGTTTTAACTGATCAAAATCAACTTCATTTCTTTACTATTGATAGTTCTTGGAAAGAAATTGACCTTGGAATTTGTGTTGCTCAAGCCACTGTTGTGTTAGAAGCAAATAACATTAAAGGAGAATGGAAAGTATTAGATTCTCATGAATTAATAAATTCTCTTCATCCAACTAACTTGCAATACGTCATTTCTTTTATTACACAAAAATAAATTAACGAATTAACTTGATTTAATTAAATTTTTTTGTTGAAAAATCATTTAAATTTATTTAATTTTAACTTTTATTAGGTTTTGTTTGTTTTTTTTTTAAGAGAGAAAAAGTATTCTTATATTCTTATTGACGAAGTGATTATAAAATTAGTAAAAATGTCGTTAAAATTTAACAAAATTCCATTAAATTTTCTCTTTTTTTCTATTAAACACTATAGAAATATCGTAAATTGTTAGTAATTAACATAAAATATTTTCTTTAAAATATGTTCACTACTATTTTTCCAAAATAAATCATACTTCTTATTAACAATCCTTTTGAAATAACATAATTTTCAGTTTTTTATAATAAAAAAGTTAGATGACAGAAATCAGTATAATAATTTAGGTGGTCAGGTTTACAAAATTAAAATTAGAATAAAAAACCATCTAATTTACAATTTTATTCAAGAATATACTTCTCTTTTATTTCTTCTTCCCAAAACTGATGAAGTGTTTCATCACCTTGTTTAATAAAGAAGCCCCTTTTTGTTTCAACTAGAGAAAGTAAATAATTATTAATTTTGTTTCCTAATTGATGGATTTGTTTACAATTAAGTAATAATTTATTTTTATAAAACACTCTATTGATTCTTTCTAATCTGATTGTTTTAGAAGTAATTTTAGCAAGTTTTGATTCAAAGAATAGTCCTTTTTCTCGAAGTAGATCAATGAGTAAATTTTGAATAAAATAAATCTTATTTTTGGTCATTCTTCTTTGTAAAGTCTTTCTTTTCAATTGAGAATCTGATTGGAATGATAATGCTTTACATTGCCCTTCTGCAAAATGATCAATATCTAAAATTTCATTTTCAATTTGAATAGACTCAACATGGGGACATGATAAAGTAAGGGTTGAACGTTTTGGTTGTCTCTTAATAACTAAATCATAATATTGGTTTAATAAATATAATAAGACTCCTTGTTCAAAACAAAAACTATTCTTAAAGGCATGTTCACTTGCAATCCTTCGAGCCCTTGGATTTTCTAAAGAAGTAGAAATGGATTGTATCGACATTAGAAAATTAATTTATTTATTTAAGTTTGATTGTTTAAGTATTAAGTTTGAAAATTTGCTTGTTTATTTTTTCAATAATTCTCCTCAATACTTGCCAAATTCTTTTTATTATTTGTCATATTAACTTGTCCAATTGGAATCTCATTTGACGTGTTGTATCGTAGAATTATAATCACTTAATTTAGAACTATTTTCCGAAGAGATAAAATTAGAACGACCGTACAGTATTTTTGACTTCCACAATTTATTCTTTTATTGTTACAAAAAGCGTGGTTTCACTAGATTAACGAAACTACCCCAATTTGATAGAGAGATTAACGCTTATTTTTTAAAATCGGCAAATTAATTATTATTTTAAAACGAATCAAGGCATTAATTGTTTGGTAAAAAAAAAAAGAATCTAAATTGTCTTTTGTTAAGTCTAAAATAATATGAAGCTAAAAATGATAAAAATTTAGTAATTTAAAAAAAAGAATGAGTTATAATTGATATAAAAAACATTTTTTATTAAGTAATTAAAATTTAAACTCTTCAATTGAAAAAAAAAAAATAATAATCAGTTTGGTTAATTTAAAATTTAACTTTTCATCATACTAAGAAGTGAGTGAATCAGTTTCTTCAATCAATTATCCTTTTATATCAAATACTTTTTAGTATCTGAATTAAATGAAGAACCATTTAAGTTATTGCTTGAATTTTAGTTTAAAATTTATAAAATTTTATTTAGTCATTGAATGATTAATATTTATTTTAATAAGACTATATTAACAACGTTATGAATAAATTTTATATTCTTTATACTAACAACCATATTAGAATCTATTTTAATTGTTGATAATTTCTCATATACTTAACTTTGAACTTTCATGAACAGATAATGTTTAATCATAATAAGTAATCAAAATCATTTGAAACAAAGAATATTACTTTAATAATCATATATACTACTTCTTAATAAATAATAACCAACATCATTCATTAAATTATTGAATAGAGAATTATCTGTTTTTACTAAAGATAATGATAGTATCAGAAAATACTGATATTTTAAATTTTTGATTGAATCTATTGTTAGTACATTGTTTCTGATCTTACTTTTAATATTTTTGTTTTAAGAATATCAAAAAAATATGTTAATAGTGTGAAATAAGATATTTTAGTTAATGAGAAGTATTTGTTTCTATATTTTGGAATTGTATTACTTTATTATGAATTTAAATATTTAAATTATTAAATGCTTATTCTTTTTATTGTTATTTGTGTTGTATTAATTTATTTATAAAATTTGTAAATCTATTCTGATTATTCTTTGTAGATTAACTATGTTATTATTATATTCATTCTTTTACTTTCTTTATATCATATTTGCTTCATTATTTTATTTGTTTTAATTTGTTTATTATGATATTCTTTATATCCTCTTTATCTTTTATTATGATATTTATTTCAATTAATTCATAAAATAAATAAGATAATGAAAATGAAAGAAATAATGAATTAAAAAAAATTCAAATATTATTATAATTATTATGATAATTACTTTAATAAATAATCTAATTCTTTTTATCAAATAAATATACATCATTTTATATTTTTTTTTTCTGTAGTTTATATTTGTTAATTTTGAATGTTTTATATAAATTTCTTCTTCTTTTATTATCTTTTTAATTCTTTTTATGTTTTCTCTTTAAATAAATCTTTTTTGTTTTAAACAAATTTGAATTAAAAAAATTAAGAAAAAAACTAACCGAACAAAAAAGAACTAATTATTAACAAATAAGAAAATGGAAGTTATTGGATATGCACCAGTAGAAACAAGTAATGCCAATTGTTTGTTATATGAAAAAGGAGACGTTATTGTTGTCAACGAAATGACAAATACAGAACTATGGAAAGGAACATGTAATGAAAAGAAAGGATTATTTAATATCACGTGTGCCACTACATCAATGCCACCATTATATCAGTTTGGTCATTTTCTTTTTTGTTATTAATTTTTGTTTTTAAAAAAAAATAGAAAAGTTGGGATATAAAACATATTAAAATAATAGAGCACGAGCTTTATTTGACTTTGAATCAAAAAATGCAGAATGTTTAAATGTTAAAACAGGAGAACTTGTTTACGTTTATGAAGAAGATGAAGAAAATAGTAATGGATGGGCGTATTGTCAAGTTGGTTATCGTTTTGGATATGTCCCAATAAAATATCTTGAAAAAGTTAATTTAGCAAAAGAATTAGGTGGAAGAAATAGAATGACAAGAGTTAATAGACAGGCTTCAATGTGTATACAATTACCTACTTATGTTCCATGTAAAGTTACAGCAAAATATGATTACATTGCTACGTATGGAAAAGACATTTGTTTTAGGAAAGGAGATGAAATGATTTGTTTTTCAACAAGTGATAACAGATGGTTACTTGTACAACATCCAGTTTATGGGTTAGGATATGTGCCTTTATCTTATGTCCAATGTGAAAAATCTATTTATCATGTAGACATTAAGAAATATGCAATTATATTATATGATTATGAAGGTGATACTCGTTTTCATCTTAAAGGAGAAGTAGGTGATATTGTTTTTGTTGAGAGCATAATAGCATCATGGGCTGTTGTTCATGTAAATGATAAAAAATATGTTTTTCCTTCATTATATCTTCATATATTTAATAACGAAGTGGAAATGAAAATATCTGAACCAATGGGAATCGTTTTATCTTCATTTAAAGGAGAATCTCCTAATGAATTAAGTATTGAAAGAAATGCATTTGTTACTGTGTTGTATAGAGAAAAAAATGGTTGGACGTTAGTAAAACAAGGTGATAAAATAGGTTATGTACCAACTTCATATTTAGAAGAAATTGAAGAAGGAGAGGCATATGCCATGATTATGAAAGATGGAGAAGGAAAAAAGAAAATAAAAAAAGGAGAAAGTAGTACTAAAGAAGAAGATAACAAAAATGAAGAAACAAAAACGAAAGATAATAATGAAAAAAAAGATGAAGCCGAAGGTGTAATTAAAAATAACGAAGAACAACAAAAAGCTGAAGATAAAAAAGATGAAACTACACCAATTTCTGAAAATAATGAAAATAATATATCAATAGAAGAGCCAAATAATAACACCCAATGTGAAAGTAAAAAAACAGAGGACACAACTGAAGAAATAGAAAATAAAAGAGAAGAACCAAAAGATGAACTAAAGAAAGAAGAAGTAATACCTATTAAAAAAGGTGATATTTGGAAAGTGTGCCATGTTAAGAAAGAAATTTGTACATTAAAACGTGGAAATCTTAAGATTATTGTCAAAAATGAAGACATAGAAATTTGTAGAATGGAAAAACCATTAAATTATGAATATGAAGAAGGAAAGAAAAGAGTTGAAGAAAGCATGAAAGTTATCGAAGAGCAGTTAAAAATTCATGAAGAACAAGAACGTGAACAAAGGATTGCTGAAGAAGAAAGAAAAACTGAAGAAATAAAACAAAAACGAAGAGAAGAAGAAAAAAAATTCTTCCGTCAAACAATGCAAACAAAAAAGAAAAAACAAAACAAAAAAATTACTGGGTTTAGACGTGGTGGATTTGCTCGTCCTGAACAGTTAATTGACACTAGTCAACTTGAACTTACAAAATCTTTATATGAAGAAAGTCTTTCAACTTTCAACCAAAACTCTCCTAAAATTGATGACTCTTCTCAAGATGAAAAGAAAGAGATTATGTTGTCACCAGAAGAAAAGCAACTCAAAGAACTACTCAATAGTTCTGAAACAAATCCAGAAATTATTACTGGGGTCATTAAAAGATTAATTCAAGAAAATGGTAAACTACAATTCCAAATTGATGAGATAGAAGAGTCTCAAAGAAATCTTTTAAAAGTAATTGGAGTTCTTAAAGAAGAATTGAAAAGAACAAGAGAAAGTTCTGGAAACCAACGCAGATTTTTGGCTAAAGAAAAAACAACTGAACCTAATGATATGAAAAAGCAAATTGAACAACTAAAAAAGGAATTAGAAGAAGAAAGACAAAAGAATCAACAAACACAGCAACCTGGACCTAAAGAAATTCCTGAGATAGAGCCCCCAGAATACTCTGAAGAAAAGAAAGAAATTGAAGAACTCAAGTTAAAAAATCTTGAACTTCAAAAACAAATTGAAGAATTAAATAATGAAAAAGAAAAAGCTATGAATGAAACAAAAAAACAAGAAGATTTATTAAACTCAAAAACTAAAGAGAACGAACTAGAAATCTCTAACTTGAAAAACCAAATTGCACTACTTAAATCTGAATTACAAAGTCTTGAGAGTGAACCTAAACAATCAACAGGTGATGGTATTTCACAAACTGAATTGAAAGATTTTGAAGATAAAATACAGAAAAAAGTGGAAGAACTTAAAACTATTTTCAATAAGATTCAACAAGAAAATAAGGCTTTACAACAAAAAACAACATCACGCCAATTTGAGTTATTGAAAAAAGAAACAACAGAAAAATTAAATCAGTTTAAAGATGAATTGAAAATTATGGGAAGAAAGTTATCACTTCTTTCTACTAAGTAACTACTCAATTTCATTCATTTTTATGTTTAATTTTATTAAGTGTTAAGTGCTAAATAAAAAATATATAACAAGTACTGTGAAAGAAAATACAACAAATGATAAAAACTTTAAATGAGAAATAACAATGATATAAATAAAGACATCATTATTTATTTGTGTAATTTAAATCAATACAAATTAATAACAAATAGAATAAATCAAAATTAATAAATTAAATAAGAGTGGATCTTGATTTTTCTATTTCACTTTATTTATTTAAAATTATTTCATTCACTCAGTTGAAATATTATCACGAGGTACTTCTTTATCTCTATATTCACTTCAATGATCTTCGTAGTATTTCATTAGTATTTCATGTTCATTATTTCATATTGTTTTATAATACATTGTTCATTAATTATTCTTATAGATTCTTTATTGACTAAACTATTTATTTTTGTTACTACGGATTACTTTCATTTTAGTATATTAATTTGTGTTTTTTTTATCTTGGTGATTTCTATCTATTTCTAGTTTATCATAAACTGTAAGATTTATTTTTTTATCATACACAATTATTATATTATTTATTATTTTTATTTGTTGTATCTATCTTCGATATAATTACTAGGGATTTATGAAATGTTCAGTTTTATTAATCATTCCTTGATTTATTACAATGAACACTTCATTATTTTATATTCTTATTTTGATTATATCAATCTCATTTTTATTGAAGATTAATTTCATTTTCTCTACTTCATCATTCATTTCATTTATATTATTTTATATTAGTTATCCTCCAAATATATTCTTTTATTAAATCATGTCTCCATTTGTACATTCTTATTTACAATACAATTTAATAACATGTTCAATTGTTGCCATTTTACTGGTACAAATAGTACATCACTTCAGAACATTATTTCCTGTAATTTTTGCTTTCTTAATCCCTATAAATGTACCACTTTCTTCCATCAATTTTAATTGTTTATAACAAATTATTTAATTATGAAATATAATAACATTAATAATTTTAAAATGTAAATTATTGTGTTTATGAAGTAGATCAAATATATTTAAATATCATTAAAATGTTGTTGTATCTTTTGATTCTTATAATTATCAATTCATCTGTTATATCTCTTTTCAATAAATGTTAAGCAATAAGAAAATATAATGAATAATAACTTATAATATAAAAATTATCATGAAAACATTAATTCAATACTCCTGTATTAGTTATTTTATTTTTAAATATTATGATATTATCACAGTATATAATTAGAATAAATGAAATTAATTTTAAATTAGAGTTTGCAATAATAATAAATAATGAAGATAAAAAGAAATTAACATCTCATAATTTTATCAAGTAAAACAACCAGAACAACATGACTTAATTAAAACTTATAAAATCAATTAAATGAAAATCTGAATGATTAATAAATAAATTATAATACAAAACAACAAACAAACACAGAAAATAACATAAAAAGAATAAAAGAATAAGAAAAATAAAATTATTATATTTTTATTTTTTAAATAAAAATATAATATAATAAAATTATAATAAAAAATAAAGAAAAGAATGAAAATTACATTTACTTCATTTACTCAAAATAAATCTAAATCATTCAAACATCTTCACTATTTTTATTTACTATATTCACATTAATTACACTTTACTTCCCCTACTTTAAATAAAAATGATTAAAACATCAAAAATTTAATAAAATTAATAAAAGGACAGACCTCCACAAGAAAATAAAGTCAGATTTATTCCATCTGAATATAAATAGATAACATCTGAAAATAATAAATATAGAGAAAATCAAAGGACAATTTAACACTCTTTTAATCAGTCAAATTTTGCAATAATTTTTTGCAAGATAATTTTATAAGAACTAATTTAAAGTTAAACAAAGAAGGAAAGAGCACCAAAAATAACAACAGTTATGTAAATAGAAATACAACCAAAGAATATTTTTTATTTGAAAAGATGTTATTTTGAATAAACCAATAACTTTGAAAGGAGAAACACAAATATTAACACAATTGATCCAGATGAAATTAAAGAAGAAAATAAAATAGGAGAGTTAGATGAAATCAAGTAGCAATTAAGAAAATGAAAGAAATTGATAAAGATGAAGATAAAATGAAAGAAAAAGAGAAAGAAGTAATGATGTTAGATAAATTTAGAAGTGAATATATCATTCATTTTTATGGAGCAGTATTTATTCCTAATAAAATATGTATGATAACAGAATATGCAAAATATGGATCAATACAAAATTTAATTAATAAAAGAACAAACACAGAAATACCAAATAAAATAAAATTAAATTCATGATAGATAGAACAAAATGAATAGAATATCTTCATTCAAATGGAATAATACATCGAGATATTAAACCAGATAATTTTCTTTTTATAACATTTGATGAAAATAAACAAATTAATTGAAAATTAACAGATTTTGGAAGTTCAAGAAACATTAATATGATGATGACAAATATGACATTTACATTTGATACGAACATCAAAATACAATATACATAAAATATTAAATTGTCAATACTATAAATAACTATCAGACAATATTCATATTTAATAACAATAGTATGTTTAATAATCAGAGTATTTTGATATGTTAAATAGTCATAACCAAATATGTTTTAATAAAAATGATGCAATTATAAGTTTTATGAATGAATATTCTTAATTAATAAAATGTGTACAAAACATTTAATTTGTCTGAAATATAATAGTTTTAACTTTTAATAAATTTCTTTAGCAACAAAAAAAAGAATTTTAATCTATTTCTTGGAAATCTCTTTTAAAAAAGAATTTAAGACGAAATAATTCTTTGTCAAAATAACAAGTATATCCTCTTCTCTGAGACATTTCAATATGTCTATTTTCGATAATGAATTCAACATCTTTATATTGTGAGTTTGATGTAATAACTAGTTTACAAAAGTTCTTGTTATCCATTTCTTCTATCCTATAATTAACTCTTCCATGAAAATTTGGGTATAAAATTGTTATTTCATAACCATCAGTTATTTCATTTATTTTACCCTTCAATCATTAGTCATAGATGATGTTTTTTTATAGTAGTAATAACAAACAGTTGCTGTTGAATATCTTGTTTTTGGTTGAATTAAATTAATTCGACAATGAACTTGTGGAATTAGACTTTTATCTTTAGAATTAATAAAAGTATATTTATCAACAATTTGTTGCATTCTTTTTAGTGGTTCATTACAAATAATTTCAAAAGGAGTTTTTTCGTTTAATTTGATTTGGTTCTTAACTGATTCTCTTCGTTGAATTTCTTCACTAATTTTTACTCGTATTTCTCTCCAATAAGTTACATGATTACCATCATCAATTCTTTTATTAACTTCTTCTTTTATTTTCTGTAAATCAGTGTCATTTAATTTATAGAAATAACAAGACACAAGAGAAGTCAACAAAGGATGAAGTCCATTATCATTCATTGAAAAATCAATAACATAATTTTAAGTTATGAGATTCTAAATTTTAAAAAATGAATAACAAGAAAAAGAAAAATGTTTTTAGAAACAAAAAAAACGTTCTAAGAATAAAACAATTATTAGATCCATCGTCGAACTAAGGAAATCAGTTAGAAAGAAAGTTTGTAATGAAAAGAAAAAAAGAAAAAGAGAAATGAAATTAATCAATATAGTGTCATTAGTACTTCAAGTATTATTTGGAAATGACAGAAAAATGTTAAGTACAAAGAAGATGCAATTTAATTTTACAGCTACAGTTTATGATATATTAGTAGCTATTAAAGAAAGACAACAATCTGAAGGTTTGTTAGTTTTAATAAAAAAAAGAAAAGAAAAGGTAATAATAAATAATAGTAAATATGGAAGAATATGCATTATTCCTTCCAAAAGATAAAACAAGAGAAAAAGGACAATGGATGATTCCAAAAAGAACTATTGAATCATATGATCTTGTTACAGATGATGAAGTTTGGTTTAGAAAAAGAATGCAAGTAGTAAATGTTTTACTTCCTGATGGATCAACTAAAAAAATGATGTTAGATGTATGTCAAACAATTAAAGGACTTGTTGTTGCAATTGCAGATAAATTATCATTACATCATGCAGAAGCATTTGGAATTCAAATTCAAGGATCAAATAAATTTTTAAGAATGAAAAGTTCATTATATGAAGTTGCTGGACCAAGTGATATTATTACATTAAAAAAAAGACATTTTATTCAAGAAGGAGAATTAAATAAAGAAGATCCAATGTTATTACATTTAAGTTATATTCAAGCACATGATAATATTGTTGGAGGATTATATCCATGTAATAAAGATGAAATTATAAGATTTGGAGCATTAAATGCAATGATTGATATTGGAAAATGTGATGAAACAAAAAAAATATCAACAATTCATCAAAATATTACACATTTTGCACCAGAAATGTATCAAAAAAAAGATATTGAAAAAGAAATATTTGCTAAATGGAAAAGTATGAATTCAATGACACCAGTAGATGCTAAATATAAATATCTTCAATTATGTATGACATTAAGATCATATGGAATGAATATTTATCATGGAGGAATTGAACCTAAAGGAGTTATTCAATCAACTGATCCAAAAAAGAAAAAATTAAATCAAGTATTAATGGCATTTTCACCAGTTGAATTAAAAATGTTAACATTAGATCATAAAGTAATAATTAGTGAACCATATGAACATTTAAAAAGTTGGAAATTTAGTTCAGAAGCAGTAATATTTGATTTTGGAAAATTTAATAATGGAGAAATTATTAAATTTTATACAACAGAAGGAGAAGATATATTTTCATTAGTTGCAGGATATATTGAAATTATTACTTTAAAAGCACAAAAAATAGTAGAAGATGATAAAGATTTAGAAAAAGCTACTGAAGTTCAATTAACAAAACAAAAGAAAACAGCAGCTATAAAAACTACTGTTACAAAAACAAGAGTTATTACTCAACCTACTCCATTAACACAAATTTCACAATCTATAGAATCAAATGATATTTATCAAGCTAATAAAACATATGCTTTACCTGTTAATTTTGCTGTAAATTTAAAAGAAAAAACACAATCAAATGATGATAATTGGAGAAATCAACTTAGAAATCAATCAGATAATCTTCTTGGACTTCTTAAACCATTATCAGAATCATTTAGAAATGGACCTAAATTAACTAATGAAAAAATTAAACAATTTGGATTTTATGTAGATGGAGTTCGTCAAGCTGTATTAAATGGATCATCTTCTGTTGAAGATAAAGAAATTTTTGAAGCAATGGCAAATAATTTAATGGATGCTGTAAATGAATATATGGATATTTGTAGTGCATTAGAAAAAGATCCAAATAATCCAGCTTTACTTGCTGCTTTAACTGAAGCAGAAAGAAGAATTCAAATGTGTACAGAAGCATTAAATGCTTGTGCTAATGGACTTGTTATGGATATTGATCAAGATTTAATTTTTGAATTATCACAATCTGTATCTGCTGATGTTGATGCAGCATGTGAAGTTGCAAGAGCAGCAGCTGGTGATATTGTTGAAGCTGCTATTTCACAAGCACAAACAGATGCAAGAATGTTAGTTTTTGGAGCACAATCAATGGGACTTGCAATGGGAAATCCTGAATGTCAAACAATAATGAATGATCTTTTAAGTAAATGTAAAAATTCAAGTATTAATTTATTAGAAACATCACAATTAAAAGGAACACCACAAGGAGGACCATTAGAAGAAGATATTGATGATATTTGTAAAAATTGTGATTTAATGGATAATTTTATTGAAGATATTAAAGATGATAAAATTAATAAAAGAAAAAAATTCCTTGAATCAGCTGGTGGTTGTTTACAAATGGCTGATTGGTTATCTACATTACAAAATATGAGAATTGAAGATGTTCAACGTGCTGCATTAGAAATGAAAAAAGATATTCCAACTATTGTTAAATATATGAAAGAATCTACTGCTAGTGTTGAAGTTGATGATGCTAAAAGAGCATTTATTATTGGAAATTTAAAAGATATGACTTCTAATGCTAAAATAATATTAACAAATGCAGATCAAACTATATATAATCCTAATAAAAATGATGATATTAGAGAAGCTGCAGGATTAACAGCTGATGCAATTAAAGCAGTTTTAGGAGATGATGTTAATGAAGTTATTCATCATTCTATGTATACTGATTCAAAGAAAGCAGCTATTGCTTCACTTAAAATGTCTCAATTATTAAAAGCAAAATCAAAAAATGAAAAAAATGCTAAATATGCTGATCAAATACTTAATGCTGCACGTACTGCTTCTCTTATTACTTCAAAATTACTTGAACCAGTTGAAGGTGATGAAGATGAAAGAAAATTTATTGAAAAATCATTAGCTATTGCTAATGAATATGACCCATTCTCTAAAAGTATTGATGGATTTGTTGACCAATTAGAAGAAGGAAGAGGTGATATAATTGAAGATAAAATTCAATTAGATTTAATGATGGCTAAATTAGAACAAGATGTTAATACATTCCAAAGAGAAGATATGTTATCTTCATTACATACTGCTGCAATGGATTATAGAATGGCTGCTGTTGAATTAAAAAGAGAAATTCTTATTATAGATTCAGTAAATGAACTTGAAGAAAGTGGTATTAAAGAAGAACTTAATGAAGAGGCATTAAAAGCTCTTGATGAATTTACTCAAGCAAGACATCAATTAGATAATGTTTCTGCTTTTGATTATACAACTCAAGCAAAAGTAGAAAATGTTGCTGAAAAATCTAAAAAAGTTTTAAAAGCACTTATTAAAGCAAGTAGAACATCAAAGAAAAAGAATGAAAGAAAAATGTTACTTGATGCTGCAATGAAATTAAGTAATGAAATGGCTAGAATGCTTAGTGCAGTAGATGAACAATCTATTGGTAATCAAATAAATATGAAAGGAATTGATACTGATTTAGTTAATGCTGAAAAACAAATTATAAACATTTTAAAAATTGATGATTTAATGGATATTGATCTTAGTAAAACAATGACTGCTGAAATTACTTCTGAAGAAATACAAGCTGAAAATACTGCATTAACAAAAATGCAAACTGTTACTAGTGAAATAGATGCCATTTATAAAGATATGCAAAAAGATATTCAAGCTAAAAAAGAATCTGCTGAAGCAAGTGAAGATCCTAAACAAATCGTTGAAGCTACTTTACAAGAAGCAGTTCTTGTTATGGTTGGTTCATCTATTGGTGTTTTATCTACTGCTACTACAGCACAAGCAGAATTAGTTCAACAACTTCAAAACTCTGAAACTGCAAATGGTGTTCATAGAGATAAAGAATATGCTGAAGATTTAATTAAAGCAGTAGAAGATGTTAAAAGTACTGCAATTGAATTACAACAAAAAATTAAAGAAGATAACGTTAATTCTGATGAACTAGTTAAAGTAGCTGATAAAGTCGGTAAAAAAGTTGAAAAAGTTGTTGTATCTTGTAGAGCTGGAACTAGAACTAAAGGAAGAAGTCATAAATACAAAGACCTTTTGGAGGCTTCAAAGAAACTTGCTGATGCTACAAAAAATCTCTTAGAATGTGCTAAAAAAGTCGATGAATTTGATGACACTCCTGTTGTTGTTCAAATGAATTTACCACCTCCTCCTCCTGTTACTGAAGTTGAGGAAGAAGAAGATATCGAAACATTTGGTATTGACCAATACACTCTTAAGGAAATTGAACAACAAAAGAAAATCTTTGAATTAGAAAAGAAATTAGAAGCTGCCAAAAAGAAGAAAGCAGATTTAGAAGAACTTGCTAAATCTTTCCAAAATTAAATCACTTTTTTTTACGTTCATTAAATAAAAGTTATTTTTTTTTTATTTTTTAATTCATTTAAATATCTTTTTTAAAAGATTATTCTTCCTTAGCTTATCATAGATACTTCTTTCAAAGATTGGGTTATATCACTATTTATGTTATGATTTGGTTACTATTTTTGTTTGTTTATCATACTGTAATGTTTTGGTTAAAGAATAAATCAATTAGACATATCCTGATGGTAAAATTTTACCATCATCTCCTCGAATCATATCTTTATAATTTCCCTCAATATAATAATTAGGATTATGAACTGGTGTCTCAACAAATGTTTTTAGATGATAATAAGAATTCATTCTTTGTGGAATAAAGAATGGGGATGTTTCAATTGGTTTAAACATACAAACTGATGTGAAAGCATAATTGTCTTTGATAGTTCTTCCCATTAGTTTTGACATAAACGCTTGTTGGGTAGATCTATGTGTTACAAAACATACTCTTTTATATCTTTTAGTTAGTTCTAGGATTGTTTTAAATGCACGTTGTTGAATTTCTTCCCATGTTTCTAATACTACTTCCTTAATTACTGGTTGATATTGGTCATCATAGTATGGATCTTTATATTTAACTGGATCAAATTCTGGTACTTTTTGTCTGTTTACTTTAGAAAGAAATTCACTTGCACCTGGTTCTATTTCATATTTCATATTATTATATTTTGCTATTTCTCTTGCAGTTCCTGTTGCTCTTAAATATGGTGAACTAACAATAATATCAATCTTTTCGTGTCTCATTCTTCTTCCTACTTCTTCTGCTTGTTTAATTCCATCATTGTGTAATGGTGGGTCATGTGGATATTGTGCTGTTGGAACCCATTTTAAGTCAATGTAGTCATGTCTAACTGCATGACGGACAATGAATAACTTTGGTTGGTTAGTATATTCATTATGTAATTCTTGAAGGTTATTTATTAATTTATCATATTCTTCACTAATGTCTTCATTTCCTTCTTTCTCCTCTTTTATAATACTAATTTTAGGTAATTGGTCATGTGTATCATTACAGTCAAAGGTAAATAACATCGTTATTCCCTTTTTTCCTTTCATTTTTTCTTTTTGGCCATTCATTAAATCAATGTATTCTCCAATAATTTCATAATGTTCAATTTCTTTATCTTTTATAATTTCTTTAAATCCTTTAATAACTTTATCATATTCCTTTGAATTAATACATTTGATTTCTTCTTTTAGTTCATCTCTTTCGTTCATGTTGATATAAATGACTATCCCTCGTGGATTTTCATAACCTTTTGTGATATTATGATATTCTTCCATTTCGTTTATCTAACCAACGCTATTTTGGAATATTTTTTTAGAGTTCTTCCAAATAAAACTTATTTATTATCTTTAACTATCATGTCAATTCCACCACGTTCATGGCAAAAACCCTCTCAAACTCACCCACACCAACAACCAGTCTCACCACCAATAAACACACCACAATACTTATCACCATATGTTCCTCCAATTTACCCACCAATCTTTACTTCTCCATTTACACAATTTGGAGGGATAGAAAATGAAATAGTTCAGGTTTTAATGACAATAGGAATGGGTAAACCATTCATTATAAAAGCAGGACAAATGGTATATCAGATAATTCATGAATTAAAGATTGATAACTTGGTAATTAGTTTATGGAAAAAGATAGAGGAGATTCCAATAACTATTCCAATTAAGAAGATGTTTTGGAAAATATATATAATGTTGGTAGGAGAAGAAAAGAAAGACAGAAGTGGATACTTATTTTTGATAGGAATATTTTTAATGATTCCTTATTTACACCGTAAATTTCATAATACAACAATTTCTTTTCATTAATCTATTCTATTTTTTTATTAGTTTTAATCCATCTTCATTTTTGAATTTATAAACAAATTATAAGAGAAAAAGTAATTCTAATTCTTTTATGGTCTTTTAACACTCAATTATTATTAACTTTTCTTTATTTAATTATCCTTTTCAGTATTTTGGTTTCCACGAAGTCCAAAAACAATGTTTTGAACTAAGTTATCCATAACTTCACTACTTTCTTCTGAAGCATCAGTCTGGTTGTTTACAATATTAATTTTTGATTTCTTTTTTTTATCTACCTTATTCGTTTTTTCTTCGCTTTGTGGTTTTTTAATACTTTTATTTTCTTTTGATTTTTCCAAGTCTTTGATATCTTTACTCTTTGTTGATTTTTCTAACTCTATAATATCTTTATCTTCTATTTGCTTTTCAGATTCTTTAACATCATTATTTTCTGTTGAGATTTCAGTAAGACGGGATTGTGTTGGATTTTGAGCATTCTTTGGAACACGTTTATTAAATCCTGCTACATTTATACGTTTAGTAACAACCATGATTTCATTTTTTCCGACTTTTGTTCCATTAAAACTCATAATAGCTTTGTTTTTATTTTCAATTGAATCCATTTCAACGTAGGCATATTTCTTTGAGATTCCAGAGTGATTAACTGGAATAGTGATTGACATAACTTTACCAACAGTTGAAAAGAGTTTCATTA